TGCACGGTCGAAAGGGGCGTGCGCGTCGACTATGCTTCTTGACAAGCTGTCTGGATTGAGCAAAGACAGAAGCGTTTGGTTATCCAGGGAAACTCCCTTGGACGAGACCATCGCCGCCCACGCATCGGCACTAGGTGCATCCCAGAGGTCCTGAGCTGGGCCAGTGAGCGGGATGTTGGGTGGCATGCCATCGGTCGTGATGTCGAAGTTGCGGACTCGTGGCTGATCCAGGTAAACCGAGCTGTGGATATCCAGGACGAAGCATGCCGACAGAAGGCGACGACGAGCCTCTGCATCGAGCCAAGTGTGCCATCTGACGTTATTGGTTCCAGTCCGAGGCACGGGGCCAAATATGACCTTTTTGTTGTCATATACCTGGAACGGAGGTTTAGAACTTATTGCTGAGATGAGAGATCCAAAAGACTGAAAGAGAAGTTCACACAGTAAAAGAAACTAAAGCTAGAAGAAATGAGGTAGAACAAACGTGTCAGAATGAAATGCAGAAGAGAACTTACCCGCAAGTAAACGGATTCGAATTCTTTTGATGGCCTGATGGCTGCTCTCCGGCCGCGGAACCGCGCGAAGTACTCACATAGCAGAATCGCTTGCATGACAGGCACGTCCCATTGTGGTATCTGTTCCTCCCGCAATGTCAGCAAAGTGACTTTCATTGTAGAGTATGGTTGTGTCAACTTACGTATTTGGATTGTTGCCAGGCATATTCATGCAGCTGATCCCCCCTGATGCGATCCTCCTTACCACTCAGATATTGAGTCGCCACTGCAGCCATGGCGCAACGAAGCACTTCAACCTGCTCCGCCGCGGCCTCGAATGTCCTTCGGTGTACGATTGGGAAATGTGGGTGAAACTTTTCCCAGTAGACATCGAGGTAGCCGGGAATGGCTCTGCAGATAGACATAGGCAAGGAGCCCTGCATCAGGGCCGGGGCCGCTAGGAGGCCCGACGCCACCTCCTTACGGCCCAAACAGGCATATGAGTTCATCATCCGGTCCGATGGTAGTGCCGTCGACGGGGTGACTAGAGTTTCACAACTTTGAGCCGATGCCGATGTCACCGGCGGGGTCAGGCTACGAACAGTATTGGGGAACCGTGGCTGTTGCTGAGGGTCACGGAATGTCTGCTCGTCAGAGTAGGTAGATATGGAAGTGCCGAGCATCGGGTACACCTGTGGAGTGCTGAGCTGGGGAGAGGTCGAATATTGGTAGAGCATAGGGCCGGTAGCTCCTATGGTCTCGTAGCCACCTGTTGGGCAAGGCGAAAGGAGGTTATTTTGCCAATCTGGCGCCGCCGTCGGCCAGAACGCGCGTCGCGAATTATCGGAAGGCGTTGAATAAGTGCTGTCGGAAGCTGAAGAAGGCCATCCCATGGGATCCTGAGCGTGTGAAAGTTCAGGTGTTTGTAGTCCCAGCCCCGATGTCTGGAGATACAACGGAGGGTACTCAGGAGTTGTGCGTGGCTGATAGTCGATGGAGGAAAACGAGGGCGGGGTGTTGAAATCGCCATTTGAAGGCTGAAGTATGGGTTGTTGTGAGGATTGGCCGGACAGAGAATAGCCTCCACCGTAACCAGGACCACCGGACGAAGGGCGATAGCTCTCGTTCCCTAGGTGGGGAGACATAGACTTGCTAACATCTGGCGCGCTCATGGACTGATAAGTACCAGGGTGTGACATACTCGATGTCATTGGGAGGCCGTGGATCGGTGTTGTTGCGCTCGTAGGGTATCCAAGCAAGGGAGGTTGTAATCCCATGCTTCGGACTCCTGCGTCCAAAGAGGCGGCTGAGGTCCGGCGACTTTGACTCCCTCCTCTGCTTCTCGATGCCTTGTCGCCCTCGAGCTCACTTACTACGAGTCAGTTGATGCTGCCAGAATCGAAAGATGAGGATACCAAACTCACTGTCGTTGCTGATGACGCTCAAGTAGATCCTTGCGGTGGAAAGCCCTATCGCAACCGGGAATTGAGCACCCATATTGGGGAGTTTCATGGCTAAGCTGGTGTCGTCTGGTATCAAAATTTGTTAGCCGAAGCACCGCGGTGGGAAGTTATCGCATCAAGCCTACCTTAGATGCTCAGCGCGTGTGAATGTCTAACTCAAGTCAGCGGATTCCTCTAACGGACTTCTACGAAATTATGCTGGCGTACCTTGGGAGGACGACAGAGGTCGCATGTATGAACCTTCATACCCTTCTTCGCCCTACTGACACGGCCGGTAATGGGAGTCAACTTGACAGGAACTTCCCCTCCAGGTGGCACGCTGCCAAAAGGTCTCATGGGCTGGCCAGAGGGATCAAGGCCGCCGCCCGAGGGCCCTGCGTGGCCGTATCCGTAGTTTGGTTGCTCCATGGAATCGGTGCTGACGTTGCTCCTTCGACGGGTGTTGACTGGTCGAGCAGATGAAGATGACGAGCCTGTGGTGTTCGACTTGGAGGTGCGGGAGGATGAGCTTCGCTTCGTGCCTTGTGGTGTGCTTGAACGGTCTGCTTGATCTCTCCCAGTCGCATAGTCTGTGTTGTAAATTGCGCTTGGTGCCAAGTAGGGTTGATGATGTCTGCCTGATGGAGCCGGGACCTGGTCGTTCTTAATAGTGTGGGATTCGAGTTGGTCCTCGTCCACGTTCATGATATCTTGGAGGCTGGCCATGGTTTAAGATTCCCAAAAGGGAAGTGTAGAAGACCGAGATGCAGAATGGTTGCACCCAGAGAGGGAAATGCAGAGGAAGCAACGCAGCCAAAGTTAGTAAGGCACAGCCCGGCTGAATGCTCTCCTCGGAATAGACTGAAGTCGAGTGAGTGTAGTTGGAAGCAACCCCCAAACATGAAGACGCGCAGTGCGAATTGGGGGACAGTCAGGGTCCAAGAAGGGGGTGTCAGTGTAGAATGAAGGACTAAACTGGGGTGGATGGAAGACAGTAAGATAAGGTAAGGTACGGTAAGGCAAGGCAAGGCAAGGCAAAGGACCTAGGTAAGGTAGGGGGGCGGTTCTTGGAGACTGTCAGCCTGTCCAACAACAGGCTGGGGGTCGAGGTGAGATGCAGAGAGCAGTTGGTTCTAAGCGGAGTCGATATGCAATGGAACTGAACGAAGAGAAGAGACAAAGATACTGGTGCTGTTGCCGCTGCCGCTTGTTGGAGACATTGCTATATTGAGAGGAGGCAGACGCAAGTCTTCCGAAGTGCGAGTAAAGAAGGAAACTGTCAGCTCTTCAAGGAGGCTGTTCTTCTTAGAGGCCTCGCTTCCCCTGTCAGCTGTGTGTATGTACATGGGTATTCAAGGGTGTTGGACACGGAGGGACATGGAGGTTGCTCGAAAAAATGCAAGGCACTCCTTCGAAGGGTATCGGCCGAGCTGGGGTTCGGTCACCCACCACTGTCTTTGGCCTCGGGTTGATTGGTAGAGTTACCAGATGCCTGTCATACGACTCAGCCCTCTCAGGCTGGCAGACGGGACCCCATCCCATGGTCCCACGCAGCGTCTCTCCCCAAGTTTGGTATGAAATTGCCGCGATGTCACGGAATGAGCGCGTCTGGGATCTCTGCCACATCCCAAAGAAAAGCCGCGGCCATGTATAGTAGCCGCGGTTGATGACGAGGTGGACGGTCATGTTTCCATTTTGACTCTGTCTCTCCGTCTCGTCTCGTTCGTGTGCGTCTGTGTCTCTCCTCTCATGTCTAAGATCTGAACCAGATCGACCGAGTCGCATGTCGGCGAGGCCCCAAGAAACCCACAGTTCTGGCAGACAAGACGTCTTGTCTTCATTTCCCCTTGGATGTAGACAGATATCCCGTCTTGTCGCTGACTGACTTATTGACCCTGCCTACCCAGTGTATGGGAAATGCCTGTACTGCATAACAAGGCCGCCATTTCAACGGGAGACAACGCGGAGGTCTCAATGAGGAATAGCAACATGCGGTAATGGCGTCACTGTGTAGATACGAGAGAAAGAGCGGCGCCAAATGGAGCGCGGTCATTCCGTTTCCCACAGTAGCGGCCGCTAGCGTCCGTGGTGGGAAAGTAGTGGCTGTGAGTGCGTCTTTTCTGGGGGAAATGCTGTACAGACAGTGAGAATTCTGCGAGAGAAAAAAATTGTCAGACGAAATGAGGCGCAGTCTCCCGACCGTAAAGTAAACCGTTGTCATTGCTGTACATGCATGAGTCGGCTGCCCTGTCAACAACCCCTGCTAGACTGGCTTGCCCTTTTTGGATTTTGACTTTGCAGGGCATCCATCCCAAGATCCAGTTCAGCAAACAGCGGGAGATGTAACGGAGGGCAGCGAAGGCAGCAGCCAACTGGCGTGCGAGTTACACATTTTGTGTGGGAGATATGGAGCCGTGAACCCTCTGACTGGCTGTGTGTCTCGCGTCTGTCTGACTGCGTATCAAGGTCGCTTTTGCTCACCGCGACAGCAGAGAATACATACAAGTCTTGTGACCCGTCGACTCCAGGATGGCTATAAGCAGCTCCTGCACAGATAGGTACTGTACTTGTGACCGAGTGCTTGCAGTCTATTTTGAACCTTTGGCGCATAGCTCATGCAGATAGACATAGTGAACCATTTGACAAGCCGTCTTGCCGACAGACACTGGCGTATACAGCTTGATTCCAAGCTGGCCGAGGACCGAGGATCCCCAGTGAAGTAAATTGAAGGAGTTGACCATCATTGTGCCATGATTCAGGGGCTCCCGAGGTTGAAATTTTCCGCTTCCTTGTTAGATCGTCAAAGACTCCGAGTTGCGGGCACGGAGGAACAGGCCGATCATATTGAAGCAATAATCGGAAGGTTCGCCGATGGTCGTGGGGTAATGAATAGCAACATCGGTCGCCCAAGGTGAGGGCGGCGAGCGACCGAGCAATTGACTGCTGTCAATCTTTGACGTGAACACCAAGAGAACGCCATGCAGCAGCCGGCCCGCTGAGAAACATGGGAGAGGTAGGGCGGTGGACAGGGGTAGCCCCGAATCGGCGGGGACGGCAGGGGCTTAGGCGCAGCCCAGCGCCTTATTGGTGTGCCGAGGAACGAATTGCCAGTCATTGGAGACCTATTTTGGTGGCATTAAGTTTCTGTGCTTCCAAATGTGTCGTTTATTATAATAACTTCGAAACGAAAGCGATGTCTACATTGAGCGCAGAGTCCAAGTTAGCAAGTAATCAACGTGGTGTGACAAAGATAAGTAAGGTCGATATGGAAGAACCTAGGTAGCAATACCACAATTTGGATTAAGCGTTGGTGACAATAGGCACGCTAACAAGGTGCTAGCTGGGTACGCTACTTGGTACGTACGTTGACCAAGTTGCTGCACAGCATCTCGGGTGCGTTATCGAGGGAAAAAAAGTCACAAAGATCTTTTTGGCGAGTGTCGGCATGGGCGGTGGAGATGTCCCAATGGGGGGTCACACCGACGGCCTGGGCCGGCTGCAGGGACGGACGGGACCCGGTTGCGGGCTGGGGGCAGCGGTCCCAGTCATTGTCAAGGGATGAACAAACGGGCAGCGCGAGATGCGACGTCGGGGCAGAAATTCTTCAGTGTTTCAGTTGCTGTACTTCCGTGGCTAGTGCCGTCGTCGATATGAATGCCCGCAAGTGTTGGGGTCCGAACCGGCTTAATGGCAGCAAATGCATCGGATCGTAACGGAGGACGGCCCTGTAAAGACCCACAGGTCTCGGGCAGATCAGCTTTCGGGGGAAAAGATCAGGATTCAGGGGCAGATGGACAGATGTGATGCGTCTGTTTTTCCATGTTGGGGGCCGGACCGACCGATGATGAGCAATATACCGGCGAAACCTTAAGTCTCGGAGCTGGCTCCCGGTGAGGGGTGTTGCGGGCATCTTGATTCTTGTGCGGATGGGGTCCGTTTCAGGATTCGATATTCCGGGCGCATGATTGGGACTGTGGTCGAGCTTGGGATTCGGAAAAGGTAGCTGAAGCTGCATGAGATATCTCGGAGCTGAGCTAAGGAATGAGGTGATGAAGCGATGGGCTGATGAGGGGTGGTTCCGGGAGGGGGAGGGATACGTTCGCTTCTGCTAGTGTAGGTACGATTGGCAAGGTCAGGAAAGATAGGAGAAAGGATGGCCATGCTTGGGCAGCAAAAATCAAGCTATCGGTAGAATAAGGTAGCTAGCTCGATGAGCTCTGGGAACTGGCAAAGAAGCTTCGGAGTGGCGGTCGCAAGTTTCCAAGCTTTTGTTGGTTGTCAAACGGTCGCGAGTTGGATGGTGGAGAGACGAAAGCTATCAAAGGTCACGTCGAGGACGGGAAGAGGAAGGATCGACCGGACCGTTGTGACTCTGGTCCATTGTTCCTACCTTACCGGTCCTTGGGTAGGCAGGTACTCACTACTCCGTATGTTCGCACCTTACCGCCGCTGAGGTGCTTTAGGTTGGCTGGAGCTGGACCGCAGATTTTCCGAATGGAAGGCACCAACTCCCGTGGACCTCACTGGGGCGGCTCGGACTCGATGAGAGGCAGCTTCGACCTTACCTTGAGCCTTGAGGTACCTACCTTACTGTCGCCCTTGCCAACATCGTGCGCTAGGGTTCCGCACGTAAACTCGCACGTAAGGCACCTCACCTTGCCTTAAGGTGTCAACGTCGCCTTCGATCCTGGGAAGGCGCATTGCGGCCGACAATCTGTCGGTTGGAACTGGGCCCGGGCATGGACGTCTTTGGGTCTTTGGGTCTTTGGGGCTCCGTTGATGCCTTGCCATTAATCATTGCCCACTACCAGTCCGTCCGTCCATAACGCCCACATCGAGCCGGATTTCTTTATCCAACGCTTTCTGTGCCGCTCTGCGCCTGGATTCCTACTGCGACCCTTTGGCTTGCACGCCGTTGCATTTTCTTCACGGCGCAATCGTATACTGCCTCCATACCTTTTCTGTCCAGAGAACTCGATGTCTATCACCTCTGCGCCGCATCCATAATTCAGCCAAGATGTAATTCAACATGGTGGAGAGAATCCCGCGGGAAGTGCCCGGCTCATCCTAAATGGCGGTATAAGTCTAAGTCATGACATTGCAGCACACTGCCCTACTTTTGGTCTTGGCCTATTTGGCGGAACCTTCACTTACACAGTACACTTCTACAGATATTTGGTAATGAATTGATTGGGGATGGATCACCTCAGCGACCGTGAAAATTGAGTTGGTCCCCACCGGAAGTGCCTGCCAGGCTCATTACCTAAGATGCCCATCGTCGCCTTGCGGCTTGCCAGAGTTTCCGTGATTCAAGGTGGCCGGCAATATGAAGGCAGGGGAGGGGGGGAAAGGGAGACAAGGGTCGGCGCTTAACCCAGTGGTATTTTTAGCAGCCGACTTCCGTCTCCCGGCTTGATCCCGTTGGCTGACCATCACACCGACGACATTTGAACAGGGGTCTCACCACACCAACTTCGTCCCAAAAAGAAATCAAGCTGTCAACGGCCGCGGCGACCCCATTTGTTCAAGCCTCGTTTGACCTAGACATCCAGCATGAACGCGGAAACGAACCGGATTGACCTCTGCCATGCAAGTCTAGGACTCCATACTTGAAATTCGCATCATCACTACCATGTACCAGCCCGTCGACGAAATCCAGTTTTCGATCTACATCACTGATGAAAATTTTTGCATTTTGTTATTGTTAACAGCTGCTTAGCCATGTTGGACATGAGAACCCAGGGGAGCGCCAGGACCAACGGCTCCCCGCTTTGCAAAGAGGGCAAAAGATCCATCACATCTCGTCACATACCAGTATTACTATCAAATCATCTTACTCGGCAGCGTTCTGCAGTCGAGATATTCTTTTGGCACAATCCGACAAGTGCTGCCATCTGCCACCTAGATATTCTAAGCTCCGGGTGCTACTCTGTACAACAGGTAGCGAGCTAAATGGGCGACCCGGATCCAAATTGGTACCCTGACATTGCACACTGGTCTCATCTGCAGCCTGATCCAACCAGTTGGTTCTGCCACTGTCATCTGAAGACATTGTATTGCACCGCTTCCCGACCCAGCTGCGAACCATCTGGCACAGCTCGATTACGCCCACTACAGTGTCCATTTGGTCGCACGACACACTGCAGTCCACCATGGCATCCTTGCCCTGAGGCGTTCACGACATAGCCCGATCCGCGATGCATTGCATTTCTTCCTATCCCATCACCACGGTTGTTGCATGGCATAGGGCGGCCCAGCAAGCCCCAGGATCGACGATCGCGGACTGTTCTCTCCTCACCAGACAGACACGTCTCCCGTTCTTGCTCTGGCAGAAGCAACACACCCACCCCACGGCTCTTCTCTCGGTTGGATGTCAGCCAACCCGCATCAGCCACGGACACTCATCGCACCTTACCTACTGTCAAGGCTATCAGTGGTGCTATCCTTCACTCACACTGCCTTGCTGCAAGTCATCAAACAGCTTCACGTAATCGACGACCGATTGTCCTACTAGCCTGCGCATGTCTTTACCGCCCGACGCGGCCGTCCAACTCAGCGGCCGAGAGAACCGAAGAAGTTGTCCGATCGGCAACAGCTTTGTTTATCCAGAGCCCTTCTCTAGCCCGGGTTTTACCAACTCTACACGGTTCAAGCTCTTGACAAAGCAAGAATTTTCCCGGTGTAAATACTGTGCAAAGGCGACATCGATCAGGCGATGCATCTGAACAACCTTGAGTGCTCTTCACGGGATCCGTAATCCAGCTGACGAGAATCGCACTACAGTTGTTCGGCCGTTGGAAGGATCCTGTCGAGCGGCCCGGAGCGAGGGATTCCTCGTGTTCCTGCGGACTAAGGCGTGTTTGCCATGCTCAACACATGGTCTTAACAAACCTCTTCGACAGCTTTCCACCAATGGCGCGTTTTACCTGCGGGCCGTAGCCTTGCTATCCGAGGAGTGGGCTACAACCTGGAATTTCTTGCCCTTTACCGGCACCTTTTCTTCTATCCGAGATCAAAGACAGATTTCGAGATGCACACACCAGATTCTTGAGGCAGTGCCTCGGTAGGAAGGCCGTGAAGGAGCCAAGCCGCTCCTGCTGCGTGGGGTAACACGCGACGCGGCTCTGGATACCCGCACTCCCTCTATCCACCGGATCACTGCTTGGCCTTCCCGTCACGCATATCCCATCACATCGCCAGACTCAGCCCCCATTACCCACCATGGGCGGCTAGAGTCACCAACTCTAGGACGCCACCTTCATACTGGAACCTATCATCTCTCACTCAAGTGCCGGTCTCCAGGTTCTTCACGCCCTCGGATCCAAACATGTCCATAACGAGCCACGCGCCTGGCGCCAAAATTAGCGCAGCCGACATACTCCATCTTGAAGACAAGTGTTTTCCTTTGCAGAGGCAACAACACTCAGCGCCCTAAGCTGCTGCCTTGTCGCTGGAGGTAACAGTATGCGCCATGCCCCGTATTCGAACGTCGGCTGTGTGTACCTGCTTGACAGCTGCGGACCCCATGATGCCATACACATCCGAAGGATCAGCTGTCGAAGCAGCTCTCACGATCCGTAGCGGAGCCTCTTTGCTCGCGGGCCCGAGCTGCAGCCATGCAGGTACCATGCTCGAGTCGGAGTGCGGCGAAACTTGGCCAGGTCACGATTCGGTATGCGGGATGCAAGGAACGAGTAGCCGCGTGAATATGCGAATCTACGCCATGCCTTCATGTCGAAACAGGACCCCAACGGAGAGCTGAACGAAACCACAACGTTGAAACCTCGTGTTCGAAAATAAAGGATGCTCTCGACCTGGACAATGCACGAGTCTATTGCCTCTTCCGTCTACGGCCGCAAGGCCTTGACCTGTTCCCATCAATGACACTACGAGGGGTTTGGAGTCTGGCCTAGAGGGGAAGAACGTTGAGCTTGACATGGTAGTGGTTGGTCCCATGGGGGGAAACGGCAAGGAGCGTTGCCGAACCATCCCCGTGGGCGGTGATTAGCAAGGAAGACTTTCACCCTTTGGTCTCTACCGCTTCCAACATGCTCCTTGGCGAGACGTGCAGTTGGAACGGGCGACCTGGCTTGCGGCCGAGAAACGCACATCCCGTTCGGCCCTGATAGGCTCACCCGCTAGGTTCGGGTGCGAGTGCGAAGGCCGTTGGAACCTTTGATCCGTCGCCAGAGGGTAAGGACATGGAATACCGTGCCAACCTACACTCTTCTACTATCGCCACTTCGCGGCCCGGGTGCTTGACCCGTCCTCTACCTGGTTAATGATGTCCCGAAGGTAACCCCGGAATACTTGATGCTCCAACCAGGAAGGTAGGTCTCCCGGCGAACCATACCCTTGGCTTTCTATCATCACGCTAGTGCGAATCATGCGACGAACCGTGCCTTTGGACGAGGATCACATCCTGCCGTTCAGCGCCACGAACGTTG